TGAATCAGAAAATATCTTTGTGGTCTCGAGTGATTTTGGAACACACTGGCTTTTTCTTCCACAGCTCCACTGCGGCAGCAACATGGAATAACTCAGAATGGAAAGACTTCGCAAATTGGCGCCCGTCGTTCGTGTTACAAATCAACACGTTTTTCTCATCGCCAAATGTTTCTGTGGTGCGTTGCCAAAGACTTCCCCAATAATCCATTCATCACCAGTGTCTCCGCTCGGCAGTGTTGGGAAGGTGACTTTTAAAATGTAATCCCCTACAGATTACAGATTACACACCCCAAAATGTAGTTTGTAACGTAATCCATTAAATTACTTAAAGTGAGTAATGTAATCTGAATACTTTGGATTACTTGATTTGCTGTAGAGAAGCAAAGACGAGGAAATCTTCACATAAGATGTTTTTTTCTGATAAAAGAAAATAAAAAACCCAGACTTTACTCAACCAAAAATTAAAAATATAAAAATATTATTGATAGAAGAAGAGGAGACACGGTCCACAGAGCATGGTTTAGTCCTGTTTAGTCCTGGTTTAGACCTGGTTTAGTCCTGGTTAGTCCTGTTTAGTTTAGTCCTGGTTTAGACCTGGTTTAGACCTGGTTTAGTCCTGGTTTAGACCTGGTTTAGACCTGGTTTAGTCCTGGTTTAGTTCCTGGTTTATTCCTGGTTTAGACCTGGTTTAGTCCTGGTTTAGACCTGGTTTAGTCCTGGTTTAGTCCTGGTTTGGTCCTGGTTTAGACCTGGTTTAGACCTGGTTTAGTCCTGTTAAATCCTGGTTTAGTCCTGTTTTAGTCCTGGTTTAGACCTGGTTTAGACCTGGTTTAGTCCTGGTTTAGACCTGGTTTAGTCCTGGTTTAGTCCTGGTTTAGTCCTGGTTTAGACCTGGTTGAGACCTGGTTAAGTCCTGGTTTAGTCCTGGTTTAGACCTGGTTTACTCCTGGTTTAGACCTGGTTTAGACCTGGTTTAGTCCTGGTTTAGACCTGGTTTAGTCCTGGTTTGGTCCTGCTTTGGTCCTGTTTTAGTCCTGGTTTAGACCGGGTTTAGACCTCCTGGTTTAGTCCTGGTTTAGTCCTGGTTTAGTCCTGGTTTAGACCTGGTTTACTCCTGGTTTAGACCTGGTTTAGACCTGGTTTACTCCTGGTTTAGACCTGGTTTTAGACCTGGTTTAGTTCTGGTTTAGTTTCTGGCAATGCATGGAATTACCAAGGAAAAAAAAAAAGGAATATCCCAAAATGTGAAAACAGTAAAATACCATTGTAATCCATTTATATATATATTATTGTGTAATCCATTTATTTCAACAAAGTAACTGTAATCCAATTCCCACTCACTGAAACAGTAACTGTAACTGAATACAGTTACTCATCATTTGTACTCTGATTACATAACTCCAGTACATGTAATCTGTTACTGCCGCTCGGTGCTCATCTTAACAGCATTCAGCCTGATTTGCCTCCTGCTTCAGTTGTGATCACGTCTTGACCTCGTTGTGAAAGACAGATTTTAGTCAACAACTCATTTCATATCATGTTCCTCTCTCCGAAAAACAGGAAGTTGACAAGCAATAGTCGGGGTGTTGGGGGAGTAACAGATTACATGTACCGGAGTTATGTAATCAGAGTACAAATGATGAGTAACTGTATTCAGTTACAGTTACTGTTTCAGTGAGTGGGAATTGGATTACAGTTACTTTGTTGGAATAAATGGAGAATTACACAGCGGGATTTTACTGTTTTCACATTTTGGGCGATATCCCTTTTTTTTTTTTTTTTTTACTGTAATTCCACTAAACCATTGCCGGAAACTAAACCAGGACTAAACCAGGACTAAACCAGGACTAAACCAGGACTAAAACCAGGACTAAAACCAGGACTAAAACCAGGTCTAAACCAGGACTAAAACCAGGACTAAAACCAGATTTAAACCAGGACTAAAACCAGGTCTAAACCAGGTCTAAACCAGGACTAAACCAGGACTAAACCAGGACTAAAACCAGATCTAAACCAGGACTAAAACCAGGTCTAAACCAGGACTAAAACCAGGTCTAAACCAGGACTAAAACCAGATTTAAACCAGGACTAAAACCAGGTCTAAACCAGGACTAAACCAGGACTAAAACCAGGTCTAAACCAGGACTAAAACCAGATTTAAACCAGGATTAAAACCAGGTCTAAACCAGGACTAAACCAGGACTAAAACCAGATTTAAACCAGGACTAAAACCAGGTCTAAACCAGGACTAAACCAGGACTAAACCACATCTAAACCAGGAAAAAAACAGGTCTAAACCAGGTCTAAACCAGATCTAAACCAGGACTAAACCAGGATTAAACCACGTCTAAACCAGGACTAAAACCAGGTCTAAACTATGTCTCAGACAGGATTTAACAGGACCGTGTGGACCATGTCTCCTCGTCTTCTATCAATAATATTTTTAATTTGGTTCAGTAAAGTCTGGGCTTTTTTATTTTCTTTTATCAGACAAAACATTTTACGTGAAGATTTCCTCGTCTTTGTTTCTCTACAGCAAATCAAGTAATCCAAAGTATTCAGATTACATTACTCACTTTAAGTAATTTCATGGATTACGTTACAAACTACATTTTGAGGTCTTTAATCTGTCATCTGTAGGGGAAAACACTGTCAATAGTGTTGTTAAGGAAGAGCGTACATTGCGACACGCATTAAGTCGCTTTATTTTTCCCTTTTACTTTCTTTGGATTAAAATTTCTGCGCCGATTTTTACTTTCTGCCGTTTTGCGTCATGGTTCCCAGCGCAGTGACTTTCCTCTGAACCTTTGTGGCTTCCAAGTTGGCGGTTTCCAGTCCCGCTCTGGGCTCGTTGCAGCTGCAGTAGCTGAAGAGCCCAGCCCCCACATCAAACTTGGCAACTCATGTTTTTTTTAACGATCGTAAAAAGGCAACCCTTGTACTGTAAAATTTGTAACTACGGACACAAATACATTCAAACACACGCAATTTCTGGAAGAATTTAGTTTAATATTAAGCTCAATATTTTGTACAATCCCCAAAAACATTTACAAGGCTTTATTTATTACAATTTAGGTTCCAAATGTCATGCTTTAAATTACAACTTGCAACAAGAGTATCAGCAAATGTGAGAACAAAAAATAACGTCATTGAACACAAAGAAAAAGCAATGAAGTAATGGCATATTTGCTTGCAACAACGACTTGTTTATCCACATTTTACTTTCGTTTTCACCTCAGCTCACAGGATTGTTGTGGGAGCTCTAGTGTTTGATACGCACTGGTTTTAATGCTTTTGTGTTTCTGTACTTTCTAGATTTCTATTGCATCCCTCCTGGTGGTCGTTTGGGACTTAACTTTGATTTTATTGATTGTCAAGTTCAGCGTTTAATTACATTTTTCTTCATATTTCTTATTTAAACATTTAAAATTTCATGTAATTATGTGAAAATTATAGCCGTCGTGGCACATTTCCGTCTTCGGTCCCTCGGCAGGTTGATGTGAAATCGTCTACAGCAGGGGGTCCCGTACTTCGCGTGGACCATAACGCGTTCCGTACTTCATGCGGACCGTCCCCCTTCTCTTGTACGTCGCACGGACTGTCCCCCGTCCCGTACTTCGCGCGGACCGTCCCCTGTCTCGTACGTCGCGCCGACTGTAACCCGTCCAGTACTTCGCCTGGACCGTCCCCCGTTTCATACTTCACGCGGACCGTCCACCTTCCCGTACTTCACGTGACCGCGCTGGTCCCGTACTTCACATGGACCGTAACCCGTCCCGTATGTCTAAACCAGAACTAAATCAGGTCTAAACCAGGTCTAAAACCAGGACTAAAACAACCCCCAACCCCCTCTGGTTCGCGAAATATTGTCTGATATAAAACCGGTCTGTGGCGCAAAAAAAGGTTGGGGACCACTGATCTACAGGCAAGCTGGCGCCACCTAGTGCCTCCGCTCGATTTCATTTCTCTCCAGCGACTTGACCTGGAGTCGGAGTACACTAGACGGTTTGCAAGAACCCTGGAAGTTGTAGACCGAAGTTGTGCACCGGCCAATCAGTGAAGAGCTGAACCAACCTGAGTTGCGATAGCAGACTGCATACTCCATCCTCCTTTGGACTTCCTTTGTCAAATACAAACGTCATTGCACCTTTAACTCGTAAGTTCACCTCGCAGAAACGACAGTGATCGTTGACAGACATGTTCACTCTCTGCTTTGTTTGCTGTTGCGCCGGAAATTACTTGGACACCACTGAGTTTTCCGGTGCATTACATACGTCACGACCAAATAGCAACGATTGGTTAAATAAAAAAAGTACCCGCCTACCGTCAAGTGAACGAATCCTAATGCTGCGAGGTCACACGGTTTCTACGAAGTGAAACCGGCTGATGAATCAGACTAGAAAAGTACAACAACAATACAACAATCATATAAAAGCACATAACACCAGCACACTCACTGTAAACTCATTATACACACAATTAATTTCAAACTGTTCATTTTAAGTTCAAAGTTAAATAGTTAAACCAACAACAATATAAAAAAGTGTAAGTTAAAAAAGTGTTTATGGTTAAACAATTTGACATATTTGACATTTGACATTTGACCTTGAACATCGCTGTTTTAAAGCTGTAGAAAATGCTGCATTGTTGAAAGTTCTCGTACATGAGCTGCAGTGTGTTTCATGTTTAACCTGCTCGATAAACAAAAGCAGTCACTTCTAGAGCTGCTTTTGTCGTCCAGTTTGAATTTCTTTTCCCAAACTCCTTTTAGATGAGGCGGATCAATTCATCTAGCAATCTTTATTTTTTCCATTGAATTCCTCCACGATTAACACCAACAAAAGATACAAAGAAATTCCCAAAGATCCTCAAAATTCCTGCACAGTTTTTATGATTTCTCTATTGAATTCATTCAGTTTCAAACACACTGATGTAAAGTTTTGTACTGTCAATAATGTTTAAACCGTCCTGTTGTTGTTGTTGTTGTTGTCGTTCCACAGGAGCAGCCGAAGATCATCGAGCCGCTGGATTATGAGAATGTGGTGTTCCAGAGGAAAGCCCAGATCCACAGTGACCCGCACAGAGACCTGCTGCTCTGCCCCGTGGACGATGTGTCGGTGAGGCTCACGGGGGGGGGGGACGGGGGGGTCACAGGGGGGGGTCACAGCGGGGGGGCCGGTGTGACGGGGGCCAATCCTCGTGACATAAAACAGGATTTACACAACACGCGAAGGATTTTGGTCTCTTCTAAAGTCACGGAAAATGAAACGGAGATTGCAAACTTAATTCAGAGCATAGAAGAAATCTGACACAGTAACTCTAAGAAGTTACTGATACGATACCTCGATACACAGGCCACGATACGATACGTTTTTCGATACAGTGCACTTTCGATTCAATACGACTCAATATGTTCAGTGAAAATCAGACTAAATCTTTGCTGTGATACTAGAAGTCAACTTAACAGGGGTGTCAAACTCAAATTAAAAACTGGGACTAAGTCGTGGGCCAAACTAAATATTTATTGAAAAATTTCAACAACATCTGCATGTTTTCTCTTCTTTCGATATGATATGTAATGTTAAACCTTTTCTTATTCAAATAAATGTTTAATGATTTCAATGTTTTGCTTAAACATTGAATCCAGAACAAGCAAAATATAAAATAATCACAACATTTTAAATAAATATTGTCTCTGTAGTAGGGGTGTGCAAAAATACAGTATCGATATCGTGGGCTCCTGATACCGCCAAGAGTATTTTTTTGGTATATTTTAATAAATTATTTTACAGTTTTCTTTTGTTTTGTTGCTTGTTCAGAGGAAGGAAACTCGTTTATGCGACGCATTTGACATTTTCACAGTTTCGATGATTAAAATGTTTCTGTTTCATATGAACTTTGCACAAGAAGTGATTTAACAAAGACTTTTAGTATCACAGACATGATTTTTAGACTTTATTTTTATTGAATCGTATTGAATAGTAAGCTCACTGTATCGAGATATGTATCGTATCTGCAACTTCTTAATGATACCCAGCCCTACTCTAAAGTCTATCTGTATCCGGTGGGCAGCTCTAATACGTATTTGATAGCAACTCGTGGGCCAAATTTAATTATTTTGAGGGCCAAATTTGGCTCCCAGGCCTGAGTTTGACATGTCTGGTCTCCTAAGTCTGCTAAGTCACTAAGTTTGTGCAAAGTTGAGATGAAAAACACCCGTTTTACTCGTCAAAACAGTGAAAATGTCAACACAATTGTAGCTCTTACACAAAATAATTTAGTAAAATACACCAAAACACACACCGATACTGTATCATCACATTAAATTATACCATATATCGATATTTCAATATTTTTGCTCACCCCTTGTAATTAGAATAGCCCAATAAAACTAGTGTGTCATTAGCTCTTTCATTCAGACAGAACAGAACCGTGTCAGGACTGAAGACGCCTCTTGGATCGGTGGATAAACGTACTTTTCTTTTACAGTAAATGATACATAAATTATAAGAAGTTGCAATTAAACTTCAACACGTAAACCCAATTATGAATGATTTAAAATATGTAATTGCAATGATTGAACAGTGAAATCTCCAGTTCACTCGCTGCTTGTCTTCACTGAGCTGTTTATTGGTTTGTCTGGGCTGATCCGCAGAATTAAACTGGTATTAAACTTGTTGATCTTGTTGGAGATGAGCAGGTGAATCCTTTAAGCCGAGTTACAGGTCAGCGGTGAGCCCGGTTGCTCTAAGAACGCTTTTCCTCTTTGTTTTTAAGCTGTAGAAAAAAAAAGTGGAGCATTGCCAGCGAAGCAATGCAATTAGAAACAGCTTTATCCTAAGTGACAAATGAATATTATGATGGAAAAGAGTTTTGTCAGTTTATGGCTACGTTCAGACTGCAGCCTGAAGTGTCTAAACCAGGACTAAACTAGATCTAAAACTAGATAAACCAGGTCTAAACTAGATCTAAACCAGGATCTAAACCAGGACTAAAACCAGGTCTAAAATCTAAACCAGGTCTAAACCATACTAAACCAGTCTAAAAACTCAGGTCTAAACCAGGTCTAACTAAACCAGACTAAACCAGGACTAAACCAGGACTAAACAGGTCTAAACCAGGTCTAAACAGGACTAAACCAGGACTAAACCAGGTCTAAACCAGGACTAAACCAGTCTAAACCAGGTCTAAACAGGACTAAACCAGGACTAAACCAGGTCTAAACCAGGTCTAAACCAGGTCTAAACCAGACTAAACCAGGACTAAACCAGTCTAAACCAGGTCTAAACCAGGTCTAAACCAGGACTAAACCAGGTCTAAACCAGGACTAAAAGGTCTAAACCAGGTCTAAACCAGGTCTAAACCAGGGTCTAAACCAGGACTAAACCAGGACTAAACCAGGACTAAACCAGGTCTAAACCAGGTCTAAACCAGGACTAAACCAGGACTAAACTAAACCAGGTCTAAACTAAACCAGGTAAACTAAACCAGGACTAAACCAGGACTAAACCAGGTCTAAACTAAACCAGGACTAAACCAGGTCTAAACCAGGTCTAAACCAGGTCTAAACCAGGACTAAACCAGACTAAACCAGGTCTAAAACAGGTCTAAACCAGGACTAAACCAGGACTAAACCAGGTCTAAACCAGGACTAAAACTAAACCAGGTCTAAACAGGTCTAAACCAGGACTAAACCAGGTCTAAACCAGACTAAACCAGGTCTAAACCAGGACTAAACCAGGTCTAAACCAGGACTAAACCAGGTCTAAACAAGGACTAAACCAGGACTAAACACTAAACCAGGTCTAAACCAGTAAACAGACTAAACCAGGACTAAACCAGGTCTAAACCAGGTCTAAACCAGGTCTAAACCAGGACTAAACCAAGACTAAACCAGGTCTAAACCAGGTCTAAACCAGGACTAAACCAGGACTAAAACCAGGTCTAAACCAGGTCTAAACCAGGACTAAACCAGGTCTAAACCAGGTCTAAACCAGGACTAAACCAGGTCTAAACCAGGTCTAAACCAGGACTAAACCAGGACTAAACCAGGTCTAAAAACCAGGACTAAACCAGGTCTAAACCAGGTCTAAACAAGGACTAAACCAGGACTAAACCAGGTCTAAACCAGGTCTAAACCAGGTCTAAACCAGGTCTAAAAACCAGGACTAAACCAGGACTAAACCAGGTCTAAACCAGGTCTAAACCAGGTCTAAACCAGGACTAAACCACTACTAAACCAGGTCTAAACCAGGACTAAACTAGATCTAAACTAGATGTAAACCAGGTCTAAACCAGGACTAAACCAGGTCTAAACCAGGACTAAAACAGGATTTAACAGCTTTTTATTTTCTTTTATCAGACAAAACATTTTATGTGAAGATTTCCTCGTCTTTGCTTCTCTACACTAAATCAAGTAATCCAAAGTATTCAGATTACATTACTCACTTTAAGTAATTTAATGGATTCTGTTACAAACTACATATTGGTGTGTGTAATCTGTAATCTGTAGGGGATTACATTTTAAAAGTAACCTTCCCCAACACTGGTCATGTCCTCCAATGCTCACGCGTGACACTTTTTGGGCATTTAAAGTTCACATACAAGCCGCATTTAATTAGAAATGTGAACGACCTCGCAAAAAAAATTGGATTTCACAAAAAAAAAAATCTGAATTTGAGAATTAAACCCTGCAGTCTGAACGTCGCCTACGTCTCCATAACAACCCTACAATTACCCGACCAGTGACCAGGATGTAGCTCACCTCAGGCCCAAAATTTTCCTGCGTTCTGTTTAAAGATGATTTACTCATTATCCACGGAACAAAAACAAAACAAATCCCCCGGGAGTTTGGATTTATCTGACCGTACAACAAGACAAAACAAGACAAAGATGTGTAAATGATCACTGTTCTGTTTATTACACAGCAGCACGTGAGTTTTAGTTTAACACTCATCTGTTCTGTCCATCACATCTGTCTCTCTCTCTCTCTCTTTAGGCCTCTGTGTTGCCTCTCTCGCTTTCTGTCTCTCCCTTATCTCTCTCTGCTTCTTCACGTGTTTTAAAGGTGACATTTTGAGGATTTTTGACCATTTAAAAGGTTGAATATTGTTGTTTTTGCAAAATTTGAATCTCTCTGAAACCCATGAATATCTCAAGCTGTCTCACTTTCTTTGTCTCTTTCTATCTATTTCTGTCCGTCTTCTCTATCTCTCTCTGTCTGTCGCTCTCTCTCACTCTCTCTCTGTTTTTGTTTGTCTTGCTCTCTCTTTCGCTCTCTGTCTTGTCTCTCTTTTTGTCTTACTCTCGCGCTCTGTTTGTCTTTGTCTCTCTCGATCTCTCTGTCTCTGTCTCTCTCTGTCTCTCTGTCTTTTCTCTTGTCTCTCTCTCTCTCTCTCTCTCTCTGTCTTGCTCTTTGTCTCTCTCTGTCTCTCTTTATTTCTGTCTCACTCTGTGTCTCTTTCTTCTCCCTGTGTCTGTCTCTCTCTCCATCTGCCTCTCTGTCCCTTTCTGTCTGTCTTGCTCTCTTTCCCTCTTTGTTATCTCTCTCTCTCTCTTTGTTGCTCTTTTTCTGTCTGACTGACTCTCTGTCTTGCTCTTTGTTTGTCTCTCTCTTTCTCTGTCTCTGTCTGTCTCTCTCTGTTTCTTTCTCTACCTGTCTCTCTCTCTGTCTTCTTCTCTGTCTGTCTGTTTCTCTCTCTCTGTCTCTGTTTGTCTCTCTTTTTCTGTCCTACTCTCTGTCTTGCTCTCTGTTTGTCTCTCTCTCTCTCCATCTGTGACTCTCTTTCTGTCTTTCTTGCTCTCTCTATCTGTCTATTTGTCTCTCACTCTGTCTATCTCTCCTTGTCTCTCTTCGTCTCTGTCTCTACCTGTCTCTCTCTCTCTCTCTGTCTTGCCCTTTGTCTGTCTCACTTTCTGAATGTCTCTATTTATCTCTCTCTCTGTCTCTCTTTATCTCTGTCTTTCTCTTTATCTGTCTCGCTCTGTGTCTGTCTTTCTCCCTCTGTCTGTCTCTCTCTCTTCATCTGCCTCTCTGTCTCTCTTTCTGTCTGTCTCACTCTCTCTTTCCCTCCCTCTGTTTGTCTCTTTCTCTCTTTGTCTCTTTTTCTATCTGACTGAGTCTCTGTTTGTCTCTCTCGATCTGTCACTGTCTCTCTTGATCTGACTGTCTCTGTCTTTCTTTGTCGCTCTCTCCTGTCTGTCTCTGTCTGTCTCTCTCTCTCACTCTTTCTGTCTGTCTCACTTTCTGAATGTCTCTCTTTATCTCTGTCTTTCTTTGTCTGTCTCGTTCTGTGTCTGTCTTTCTCCCTATATCTGTTTCTCTCTCTTCATCTGTCTCTCTGTCTCTCTGTCTGTCTGTCTGTCTTTCTGTCTGTCTCTTTTTCTCTCTGACTGACTCTTTGCCTCACGCTTTCTCTCACTCTCTCTCTTCATCTCTGACTCACTGTCTCTTTGCCTGTCAGTCTCTGTCTCTCTCTGTTTGTTTCTCTATCTGTCTCTCTCTCTCTGTCTATCTCTGTTTGTGTCTGTCTCTCTTTATCTCTGTCTCACTCTCTTTGTCTCTCTTATTCTGTCTGACTCACACCCTGTTTTGCTCTCTGTTTGTTTCTCTCTCTCCATCTCTGACTGACTGTCTCTCTCTGTTTCTTTCTCTACTTGTTTCTCTCTTTGTCTCTCTCTTTATCTGTCTCTCTCTCTCTCTCTGCTCTCTGTCTCTGTCTGTTTCTCTCTCTCTCTTTGTCTCTTTTTCTGTCTGTCTCACTCTCTCTTTGTCTCTCTCAATCTCTGTTTCTCTCTGTCTCTCTCGTTCCGTCTCTCTGTTGTGTCCCTCGTGTCTCCGTTGTTCTTCTCCTCTCGGTAAACCCAGTCACGTTCTCTCTCTCTCTCTGTTTGTCCGTGTGCTCCAGGAGGCCCAGATTTCCCGTCAGAGGAGGACCGTGGTTCCCTCGGTGCCGCAGAACGCCGAGAGAGAAGCCAGGAGTCTGTTTGCCAAAGAGGTAATCTCACAGAACCCGCCGCTCCACAAAAGCTCTTACACATGAAGCGGTGAAGTCAGCGACCATGTGCTTTCTGGGAAGGCACACTTTCTAAATTAACTGTACTCCAACAAACTGTCTTTAGCAGTTTGAACCGAAACAGATTCAAACCCAAATTCAATTCAGTGTTTTTTTTTTTATGATAGTTATGTAAATACACCTTATAAATGATGTAATTTCTGGACTAGGGATGGGCATCGATCGTCGGAAGAATTAACGATCGATTATCGATTAATCATTAATGTTTTTATATTAAAATGATCATCATTATTATTACTATCTGCACTAATCTGCATAAATAAATTCAACTTTACGACAAATAAACCGTAACGACTCTAGAGCCACATCAGCTGTTTGACATTATAATGTGTTTAATTCAGTTTTGTTCAAATCTCACAGAAACAAAACTTAAAACCACATCACTAATTTGTATAAACTAAGCGAAGATAAAACTCCAGCTCTTGTGTCGCTGATGTGGTTCAACTTGTGTTGGATTAAAAGACATGACTCAGGTGAATACAGGTTAGTGTGACCAGATTTGCGTTTGTCAAAACCAGGACAGCGTACGGGGGGAGGGGGGCGGGGCCTCGTCATCCACATTGAGCGACTCTCACCTGGAAAAACCTTTTCCCACTGGACACAGAAACATATGTGCTGCTTCATACACTGTGCACATGGACTCACACTTGTCCCCAACGGAAAGCGTGGACTTTCTTGTACAAGTCATCGTTGCACATCGTTCGCATTTGCACTTCAGTACGTTGCAGACTGACCGACTGTTTGTGTCTCGCTCCTTCTGATGCAGAGACACATGTACAGACCTGTTTGGTCACGCTACGCACAGTAACCTACATTCGATTTGTCGATTAAAATGAATGTAATCGATGAAATTCTTAATGATCAATTATCGATTAATCGACTAATCATGCCCATCCCTATTCCGGACTATTGAATGAACCTGAATATAAACCACATCAACTACATTTTAAAAGAATGAAAAATTGTACATATATCGGCCGCACTTTTCCATAAGCTGCAGGTGTCCACGTTGTAACTCTACACAGAAAGACGGTACACGGTACACGCTTTTTCTGAACACAAAATTATAGTTCTGTGTCGACTCACCGCACTCTGCTGCCTTTGCCGTGTCGTTGTCTGCGTCAAGGTCTATGCGCCGCGAAGTAATTCACTGCCACAAAGTGAGGAGGCGAGGATTGCATTCGTGTTTACAAAATGAAGCGGGAAAGTGGCGTATCAGAAATGTATGCAGAGCAGATGTAGAGAGAACCAATCACAGCCCTTATTGTCAGCGTCGCTTTCTCATTGCTGTCTGCGTCGGTTCACGTAGTTACCACTAGTGCTGTCAGGCGATTAAAAAAATTGAGAGATTAATTAAATATGATCTGTAATTAATTAATCTAATGAATCTCTTTTTAATCTCACCTATAAATTGCTGAGAAAAGCTTCAACTTGAGGTATTTTCATTTAAATTCATTATTACATTATTGTGGCAGATCAAAAGACTGACACAGAACAAAAAAAAAGTGACTGTATAAAGTTATTTATTGTTTTTATTTATTATTATTTTTATAACAAACTTTAACAGATGCAGTCACTTACATTCCACAGTGTCATCATTATTATTACTATTACTAATCTGCATAAATAAACTCAATTTTACAACATATAAACACAAACAATCTAGAGCTACATCAGCCTGTTTGACATTATAATGTGTTTAATGCAGATTTGCGCAAGTCTCACAGAAACAAAACTTAAAAACCGCATGACTCATTTGCATAAACTAAGAGAGAAAAAAACAAAACGCTCTTGTGTCGCTGATGAAGTTCAGCTTCTGTTGGACTAAACGTTGTATGGAGGATTTTTTTATTTGTTTCAAATTGTCAATGAAAGTTTAAAATACCATTACAGAGATGATGACCAAAAAAAAAAAAAGAAAGAAAATCTATCAACTGTGGACGTGTTGAGGCCAGATAAACATCAGCCAATAGAAAACGAGGCTGCCTCATTTTCTATTGGCTGTCAGGTTGTCAATCAAACTCCCTACGTTTCTAAGGTAACTATGCAGCGGTTCTTAGAGGCTTTTTCTAATTGTGGCTCTCTCGCAGTTCGCATAAAGTTTGTTGCGATGTTGGACGAGAATCCACGACCAGTTCGCCGCAAAAGAAAGTCGGTTTTTGAGGTCGCTGAAAGAAGAAGAGAAGGAGAAAAGGAGCGAAGACAAACTGAGGTGATTCTTGGAGATTCCTTTCAGTGACTGTGCGACTGAAGCAGACAAAGGGTCTAAAAACTGAGGTGTCGGTCTCTAAATTATTTCTAGAGGGACCTGTGGAAGGATGGAATGTCACGCATGCACTACATTTGAAAAAGGACTGTTGCTGGATTTCTCTTTCCTTAAAAAAAATCCTCTATACAATCTAACCGTTCAACCAGTGATGTTTATGTCAAGAGCGGGACTTGAACCACCAATCTTCGAATCAACGAACAAACGCTCGACCTACTGAGCTGCTGCCGCCGCATTTGTTAACGCTGTTAGTTGTTGTTAGTGTTACTGTGACAGATGTGGTCTCGAAAATTTATGAAAAGCTCTTATAAACTCATCAGGGTTTTGGATAATAACAGGCTACTGAGAATGTGTTGGATCAGTCAGGAATAACTTTGGATCGTTGCAAAACTGCTTCTGTTTTTCACGTTTGAACAGTAAAAATCAGCTGCAGCGCCTTTAAATGAATGACCGGTCTGCTGTGACTGTATATGGAAAACCCAGATGAAGCTTTATGCGCATAACAGATGATGACTCCCAGCAGATGTTCACGTTAAACTCCACTCAGCCCGAGCTCATAAAGAAACGTGGAAGGAGGAGAGTGAACACACGCGCTGTACGAACGAAATCCTCTCTGTACGACGGAGACTCCAGCTCTGTGACGCACCGAGGCACTGAGGCGGGTAGAACTTCCACCTCACGATACAACAAAACTTTATTGATCCACAAGGGAAATTATTTGGACACAGTAGCTCACACAGAAAAATATAAGTATTAGTGGTGTAACGGTTCATGTATTCGTGCCAAATTGTTTTGGTACGGGATGCTGGGTTCGGTGCAGGGCTGTACACGAGTGAGTTCCACAATTTGGCCAAGATTAGTCCTGATTTGGTCCTGGTTTAGTCCTGGTTTGGACCTGGTTTAGAGCTGGTTTAGTCCTGGTTCAACTCTGGTCTAATCCTAGTTTAGTCCTGGTTTAGAGCTGGTTTAGACCTGGTTTAGTCCTGGTTTAGACCTGGTTTAGTCCTGGTTTAGACCTGGTTTGGCCCTGGTTTAGCCCTCGGTTCAGTCCTGGTTTGGACCTGGTTTAGTTACCGGTTCAACTCTGGTTTAGTCCTGGTTTAGAGCTGGTTTAGTCCTGGTTCAGCTCTGGTTTAATCCTAGTTTAGTCCTGGTTTAGTCCTAGTTTAGTCCTGGTTTAGATCTGGTTCAGCTCTGGTTTAGTCCTAGTTTAGTCCTGGTTTAGTCCTAGTTTAGTCCTGGTTTAGATCTGGTTTAGAGCTGGTTTACAGCTGGTTTAGACCTTGTTTAGACCTTGTTTAGACCTGGTTTAGACCTGGTTTAGCCCTCAGTTCAGTTCTGGTTTATTTCTGGTTTAGTCCTGGTTTAGAGCTGGTTTAGATCTAGGTTTAGTCCTTGGTTCAGTTCTGTTTTAGACCTGGTTCAGTCTCAGTTCAGCTCTGGTTTAGTCCTGGTGTAGACCTGGTTTAGTCCTGGTTCAGCTCTGGTTTATTTCTGGTTTAGTCCTGGTTTATTTCTGGTTTAGAGCTGGTTTAGCCCTCGGTTCAGTTCTGGTTTAGTCCTGGTTCAACTCTGGTGTAGTCCTAGCTTAGACCTGGTTTAGTCTTTGGTTCAGTTCTGTTTTAGACCTGGTTCAGTCCTGGTTCAGCTCTGGTTTAGTCCTAGTTTAGTCCTGGTTTACTCCTGGGTCAGTCCTGGTTTAGTCCTGGGTCAGTCCTGGTTTAGTCCTGGGTCAGTCCTGGTTTACTCCTGGGTCAGTCCTGGTTTAGTCCGTTATCTGTTTTTTCCATTTTTCATTTAAACACAAAATCAAAAACTGAAAAAACTAATCATTATCTGTTTTTTTTTTTTTTTTTTTTCATTTTGATTTTGGACACAAATCCTGAAGAAAAAGTAGTTTTTCATTTTCTTATTTTTGGTTTTATTTTGAAAAACAAATAAACGAATGACACATGGATTGCTTCAGTTTGTGTCCAGGTTCCTTGATGCTCCGGTTCTGCAAGATTTGGATATAATTACACCCCTGTTTCCTTGTGTAGCTCAGTATTTGCGCCAAATCGTTTCTATGCAGGACGCTGGTTTCGGTGCAGGGCTGTGCATGAATGATTTTGCGCAGTTTGTGTGTTTACATTCCACCACTACATGTACACAGGAGCGGCTCTTTAATATTCACGAGGGAAGATGCCTGTGATTTGTGCAGTGTTTCCCACAACGCTTTATAGTCAGAGCGACAACAATTTCCCCCCGCCTTGATTACGCCCCTTCGAAAAAACGCAAATTCTCACAAAACTAAGGTCGTTGCCTCATTTTCACCTTTCGCCAGCACGGAATTTCCGCCCACCCCCGATATACCCGCGACCTCTGTTCCTAGTGAAAGTGAAAGTGTATTTACAGCTGCTGGGGACGTTGTAACTTACTGCAAACAAGTTGTTTTTTTGTGGCCAAAAATATGAAGAAGTTCATGTTGAAACTGTTCGTGCTGAACTTTACTTTTTGAAAAGTTTTGTTTACTGTTTACAAGGAATTTATTTTTTATAATATTTCATACATTTGTTGCTTATTTGAGAATATTTTATTTAACACAAATAAACAACTAGGGCTGGGTATCATTAAGAGATTTTCGATATGATACACACCTCGATACACAGGCCACGATACGATGCTTATCTCGATACAGTGAACTTTCGATTTGATATGATACATTTCAAATCAATTTGATACGGTTCAATAAAAAATAAAGTCTAAATCATGTCTGTGATACTAAAAGTCTTTGTCAAACCACTTCTTGTGCAAAGTAGAGGTGTGCACGGGACAGAATTTTCAGTCTCATTTCATTCATTGATTTATTTATTTATTTGTTTGAGCCAGGTACAACAAAATTCAAAAACAGTAACAAAATTTGTGATATGTACATGAACATATTTGGGGGGGACCTGGTGCTCGGGAAAGGAGGAGTAGGGGGACGGGGGGACTCTCTGCGCGGCGTATGGGACGTACGGGACCGGGGAGGACTCTCTGCGTGGAGTACGCGGAGTACGGGACGGGGGAGGACTCTCTGCGCGGCGTGGGACGGGGGGACGTACGGGGGGAGGACTCTCTGCGCGGCGGTGGGAGTACGGGACGGGGGAGGACTCTCTGCGCGGCGTACGGGACCGGGGAGGACTCTCTGCGGGAGGGAGTGGGAGTACGGGGGGGACCGGGGGGACGGGAGGACTCTCTGCACGGCGTACGGGACCGGGGAGGACTCTCTGCACGGCGTACGGGACCGGGGAGGACTCTCTGCACGGCGTACGGGACCGGGGAGGACTCTTTCCTGCTTAAAATGTTTTTATTAATGCCAAATAAAATTTCCAGCACAAATGATGCATGATCGTCTTACATTCATCATTTGTATATTTTACTTTACACTCATATTTAGTTTGCGGGACTGCAGTTTATCTGGACTCTAGCGCAAAGTTCATATGAAACACAAACATTTTAATCATCATCAACTGTGAAAAAGTCAAATGTGTCGCATAAACGAGTTTCCTTCCTCTGAATAAACAACAAAACTGCAGCTGTAACAAAATAATTTAGTAAAATATTCAAAAATAAATATTCTTGGCGATATATCGATACAGCAGCAGATGATATCGATACTGTATCAGCACATTAAACAATACGATATATCGATATTTTTATATTTTATGCACACGCTTATGAACAACACACAAATGGTTTCACGTTTTGTTCCCGTACTGTACCGAAAATTAACCAAATTGTGATGTTTGTATCGTTAAACCCTTTGTATTTGTACTTCTAATATGATTTGTAAAAGTAGTCGTACTCTTACTAGAGCAGAATATTTGGTGCTGCTCTGAGCACATCTCCCATGACTGTGACGAGTCGGCTCTGGGACAGCGGGGAATGTCAGGCAGTACATATTTACTATTACTCAGCATCAGTGGCCAACAAAGCTTTTCTGTGAGCGCGCCGAGCCGGGCCTGAGTGCTCGTCTGCAGTCCTCGGGGGGCGGGGGGGGTTTAAGGCCACAGGGTTCGTGAGTGCGGAGAATTAACTGTTTCTAATCCAGCTCTTGTTTTTTTTTGGCAGTGCATCAAGATGTACAACACGGACTGGAACGTCATCAACTACAAATATGAGGCGTACTCGGGAGATTTCCGCACGCTGCCCACGTAAGAACCACTAAAGCAATGTCAAGCAATAACACTGTTCTCCTAAAGCTTATTTATTGGCTTATATTGGGAAATCAGACGTCAGAGTATAGATTAAAAAAAAGATCAGTCTTGATTACATACTATTTATTTTTCCAGTTTGGTGTATGTTCAGTCCTGAGGTCATGTTTTATGTGACAGTGTTTAGGGTCTGGGCAAAAAACATGAATCACAATTTATTTTTCCCGTCCTTTTCAAACTTGATCTTCGTTTCGATCTTCTTCCATCTTATTAAAACACAGATAGACATAAAGCGCAGGGTGTCAGGGTCACTACACTTTTTATTTTGTGTTGATAGGACCAATAATCCTGGAGAAATTCACAATGGAATGAGTTTGTACAATTCATTTAGTCGACTGGACACGTTGCTTCTTCAGTTCTTCAGACGCTGGTGGACACTGACTTATATCTGTCTGAAGGGGAGGAGCTAACTCCACTGAAACTACTCTGGAACTGAGTGTGGGTTCATACTAGCAGAATAAATTCAGCGCCGTAATGGAGCTTTCACACCTCAGACCTGGCTCCACGTATTGTTTTCTTTGTTTGTTTTGATTTAGGTTTGAGGAGAATAGGAATAGGAGAAACAAGCAGAGTATAAAACAAGGAGTGCGTATACATGCACATCAATAACCCGGTTATGATCGGGTTTTTTGAGTATCCCGGTTTCTTGATGGTGCATGTAAACGCAGTAACCCGGTTTCAGTAACCCGGTTATGGCAGTATCCCGGTTATTAGAAACCGGGTTACTGTAGCTGGTTTATTCCGATAGTAACCGGGATACTGTGGCATGTAAACGCAGTATCCCGGTTACTGCAACATAAAGTTGAGTGCGCATGCGTCCAAAAGACACTTTCCAGCCTTTCACCACAACAGTAGTGACATAAATAAATTGACCAACATAAATAAAGTGACCAAACGAGTGAAATGATGTAAAATTAAGAGCTGCGCTAAACCTGCACACGTACAATCTGCACTCGTACGACCTGCACTCGTGTGACGCTGAAAAGCTAAAACATGAACTATCTCCTATACTCTATACGCACGGAACACACTCACCATCATTCAGCACCTCTTCTGTCACAGAAATAACACACATAATCCACAGAGTCGTGTCATTTAGTCCAAAAGAAACTGATCGCATCAGCGGCACAAGGAGCGAGTTGTTTTTTTATCAGCCGCTAACAGTTTATGCTAATTAGCCAAACGGTCTTAAGTTTTGTTTCTGTAAAACGTAAACAAATGTGATCAGAGCTGAATTATCTGATCAAACGGGCTGATGTGTCTATAGTGTTTATGGTTTATATGTTGTAAAGTTGAGTTTATTTATGCAGAAGATTTTAATGAAGAATCTGCACAGTGGATTGTGGGAGATCTCGTAGCTCCTTAGCTTCTTATGCTAAAGGAGCTCACGGTTTGTATTTTTCCTGGTTTATGAAATTGATTAAAGTTAATTTTTGCGCCTGCGCATTTGTAAGATTATGTCAAGAAACCGGGATACTCCATTTGATCATGTACACGTGGATATGAGTGTCCCGGTTTCTCAGTGCGCATGTAAACACAGTAACACGAATACTGACATAACCGGGATATGGCTAATAACCGGGTTATTGATGTGCATGTATACGCACTCAAGTAGTGTTGTAAATTCCCTAAGGCAGGGATCTCCAATCTTTTTCGTCTGGTGAGCTACCTTTACAAAATGAAAATGCCAGAGAGCTACTTATTTTAAGCAGTTGCAAGAAAATGATTTGATATAAGAGGGCAAACTTTAGATGTACAGTGAAAAGCCTATAAAACTTTAAACCATTATCCATTTATTAGTGCACAAAGTTCAAAGTAACACTTTTGCAGTGGGAATTAATCAAATTTGAGTGAAGCTGTGTTCTCCATCCCCGCTTCCAGTCAGTTCCTCACAAGTTTCTCGCTCACTCCAAACTTTCTTTCTGCTGCTCGATTACCGTTTTCTGCTGCATATTTCACGACTTGCAGCAGGACAGAGGCTCTTTTTCAGCAGGATTAACTTTAACTAACTAATTAACTTTATTAACTTGATTAATTGACCAGATTGTTGATGTAAACTGTTTAACAATTACTCACAGACTGATTATATTTGTGTGTAACTTCAGTTAGTAATATGACTCAAATGTTCCTAAAGATTATCAGATAAAAGGATAGATTAACAGACAGATAACAAGATTGAAAACAGGACATTAAAGCACCAAAAATACATTCCTGCGTCCGTTTATACTCTCTAACCGGAGTATTGTTCAGATGAAGTGTCCCAGTACAGTCTACAGTCCTCCTAGAAATCTCCAACAAGTGTGTGTGTTAGTTTCAGAGTAGTTTCAGTGTAGTTAGCTCCTCCTTCAAGCAGATATAAGTGTCCACCAGCATCTAACAAGAACTCAAGAAACAGCTTGGATGAGCTGAGAAATGCATCCGACCAAAATAAACTTTTATTCATCATCGAGATCGAACAAAGTGAACAATAGTGTTTCACGATACTTAAAGATTTTTGTATCAGTAACTGTTCAAATAACTGTTCAAATAATCTAGGTTTGACACCAGGCCTGATGTTAAAGCTCAGAATTCCCTCCCTGAGCTGCAGAGGCTGCACTAGCACTGAGGTTTACAGTGTTCCCACGATCATGGAAAACCTGGAAAAGTCATAGAAATGTGTAAATTCAATGAAAGTTTTGGAAAAGTCATGGAATTTTAGTATCTCTTTCACCAAACTCCAGCGTTCTGTTCAGTTCTCATGAGGCTGTTCTGATTATTTCTGAACGTCTGTGCCTTTTGTTTAAAAGAGACGACAATAAATTCTCTGACAGGATTTTGAATGTTTAAAAACTATAATCCCAAACCATAAGGTGAGTGGAAAGAGTTCACATTTCAGATTTAGCCCGAAAAGTCTGAAATTTTGTCAGTGGAAAAGAGTGGGAACCCGGGGTTTAGGTAGTGACCATCAGTGTTGGGAAGGTGACTTTTAAAATGTAATCCCCTACAGATTACAGATTACATACCCCAAAATGTAGTTTGTAACGTAATCCATTAAATTACTTAAAATGAGTAATGTAATCTGAATACTTTGGATTATTTGATATTGACATGGTTTTTAAAACTACATGAATGTAGCGACCACATCCTGAAAATTCTTGTTTGTTCTCCTCAAATTGTCTGTTGTCCTGGTTTAGTCCTGGTTTAGACCTGGTTTAGTCCTGGTTTAGACCTGGTTTAGATCTGGTTTAGTCCTGTTTAGACCTGGTTTAGACCTGGTTTAGACCTGGTTTAGTCCTGGTTTAGACCTGGTTTAGACCTGTTTAGTCCTGTTTAGACCTGGTTTAGTCCTGGTTTAGTCCTGGTTTAGACCTGGTTTAGACCTGGTTTAGTCCTGGTTTAGACCTGGTTTAGACCTGGTTTAGTCCTGGTTTAGTCCTGGTTTAGACCTGGTTTAGACCTGGTTTAGTCCTGGTTTAGACCTGGTTTAGTCCTGGTTTAGACCTGGTTTAGTCTGGTTTAGACCTGGTTTAGTCCTGGTTTAGACCTGGTTTAGAACCTGGTTAGTCCTGGTTTAGACCTGGTTTTAGTCCTGGTTTAGACCTGGTTTAGTCCTGGTTTAGACCTGGTTTAGACCTGGTTTAGTCCTGGTTTAGACCTGGTTTAGTCCTGGTTTAGACCTGGTTTAGTCCTGGTTTAGTCCTGGTTTAGTCCTGGTTTAGTCCTGGTTTAGACCTGGTTTAGTCCTGGTTTAACCCAAAATGTGAAAACAGAAAATCCCTCTGTGTAATCCATTTATTTCAACAAAGTAACTGTAATCCAATTACCACTCACTGAAACAGTAACTGTAACTGAATACAGTTACTCATCATTTGTACTCTGATTACTTAACTCTGGTACATGTAATCTGTTACTCCCCGACACTGGTGACCATTCAGATCAGAGAGAGACAATTTAAGTTTAAACCAACTGGATTTCAGCTTTGAACCTGGCAACCCAAAGGAGAGACTCATTCTGCTTTCTGATTGGTTACTCGTCTAGAACCAAAACACCAAATTATAACAAAACTAAAAGGAAGGAAATGTCCAGTGTTTTTATAATTAAGAAAAAAATCTGCATTATAAGCGTTATCAGTTAAAAAAATATATTTGATTTGAACATGTTTACCTCATATCTTTGCACACAGATGAGTCACAAGTTTATGAAATTTCACAAAATCAAAATCTTACAGACACTTTACTTACGTACAGATTTATTTTGGTCAATTTTGTCCGTCGTATAAACAATCACACGTGTTTCAAAGTGTCACACATGGCACTCGGTCGCTCTTACGCCAGCATAAACAGGTGCAAAAACAGCTGCAAAAACGTAAACACAAATCCAGTTCCCCTTTTAAACTTCTGTGTCTGCGGCTGAGATTATTTTCAGATCACATGAAGAAAAACCTGATAATATTTTCTTCATAAACATTAATAAAAACCTTGTAATAATTTATTGTATTTTCCATAAAAAACAGAAAGAGTTTGTGTTCATCATGTTGTGTGAAAATGCCAGCTTTGTATTATTAATTATAATCCGTGTATCTTTCGTTCATTCGTTTTTCAAAATAAAACCAAAAATAAGAAAATAGAAAAAAAAAAACAATTTTCTTCATTATTTGTCTCCAAAACCAAAATAAAAAAAAAAACTAGATAATGATTCATTTTTTAAGTTTTCGATTTTGTGTTTAAATGAAAAATTGAAAAAACGGATAATGGACTAAACCGGGACTGAACCAGGTCTAAACTAGGACTAAACCAGGTCTAAACCAGGACTAAAACAGGACTAAACCAGGTCTAAACTTGGACTAAACCAAGACTGAACCAGGAGTGTCGGAGATGCGCCCACGTTGACTGTCATATGGTCGGGACTGAGACCAGGACTGAGACCGGGACTGAGACAGTTTAAACTGGTCTCAGTCCTGGTTCAGTCCTGTTCAGTCCTGTTTTTAGTCCTGTTTTGGTCCTTTAGTCTGGTTTAGTCCTGGTTCAGTCCTGGTTTAGTCCTGGTTCAGTCCTGGTTTAGTCCTGTTTTAGTCCTGTTAGTCCTGGTTCAGTCAGTCTGTTTAGTCCTGGTTTAGTCCTGTTTTAGTCCTGGTTCAGTCCTGGTTTTAGTCCTGGTTTAGTCCTGGTTTAGTCCTGGTTCAGTCCTGGTTCAGTCCTGTTTTAGTCCTGGTTTAGTCCTGGTTTAGTCCTGGTTCAGTCCTGGTTCAGTCCTGGTTTAGTCCTGGTTTAGTCCTGGTTTAGTCCTGGTTCTGGTTTAGTCCTGGTTTTAGTCCTGGTTTAGTCCTGGTTTAGTCTTGGTTTAGTTCTGGTCCTGGTTCAGTCCTGGTTTCAGTCCTGGTTTAGTCCTGGTTTAGTCTTGGTTTAGTCCTGGTTTAGTCTGTTTTAGTCTGGTTTTCAGTCCTGGTTTAGTCCTGGTTTAGTCCTGTTTGTTTAGTCCTGGTTAGTCCTGTTTTAGTTTTAGTCTTTGTCTTGGTTAGTCCTTTTTAGTCCTGGTTTAGTCCTGGTTAGTCCTGGTTTTAGTCTTGGTTTAGTCTTGGTTTAGTCCTGGTTTAGTCCTGGTTCAGTCCTGTTTTAGTCCTGGTTTAGTCCTGGTTTAGTCCTTATCCATTTTTTCCATTATTTATTTAAACACAAAATAAAAAACTGAAAAAACGAATCATTATCTGTTTTTTGTTTTTTTTTTTTTTTTCATTTTGGTTTTGGAGACAAATCATGAAGAAAATAGTTGTTTTTTCGATTTCTTATTTTTGATTTTAAATTGAAAAATGAACGAATGATACACACGGATTAATTCTGAACTCGTGTATTTTGTATTTTCTCTTTCACAGCAAAGGCCTGAAGCCGGACAAGCTGCCGGCCCAAGTGTTCGAGATGGACGAAGACGCCAAAGACGAGGTGAGCGGCGCACGACAAGACGCTTTTAAAGATAAACAATATATCAGAGCGAAGGAGAGAGAACAACTCGAGTCAGTGCAGAAACACGGTCGGGTTTAACTGTGCGTCTGGTGGGTTTTTTGTTTTTCTTAATGCAAATTTGCTAGTCCTAGTTTAGACTTGGTTTAGTCCTGGTTTAGACCTGGTTTAGTTTAGACCTGGTTTTACTGGTTTAGACCTGGACCTGGTTTAGTCCTGGTTTAGTCCTAGTTTAGACCTGGTTTAGACCTGGTTTAAGACCTGGTTTAGTTTAGTCCTGGTTTAGACCTGGTTTAGTCTGGTTTAGACCTGGTTTAGTCCTGGTTTTAGACCTGGTTTTAGTCCTAGTCTGGTTTAGACCTGGTTTAGTTTAGTCCTAGTTTACCTGGTTTAGACCTGTTTAGTCCTGGTTTAGACCTGGTTTAGTCCTAGTTTAGATCCTGGTTTAGACTTAGTTTACCTGGTTTAGACCTGGTTTAGTCCTGGTTTAGTCCTGGTTTAGACCTTAGTTTACCTGGTTTAGTCCTAGTTTAGACCTGGTTTAGACCTAGTTTAACCTGGTTTAGACCTTGGTTTAGTCCTGGTTTAGTCCTAGTTTAGTCTGGTTTAGACCTTAGTCCTGGTTTAGACCTGGTTTAGACCTGGTTTACCTGGTTTAGTCCTGGTTTAGACCTGGTTTAGTCCTGTTTAGACCTGGTTTAGACCTGGTTTAGACCTGGTTTAGTTAGTCCTGGTTTAGTTTACCTGGTTTAGACCTGGTTTAGTCCTTTTAGTCCTTTTAGACCTGGTTTAGTCCTGGTTTAGTCCTGGTTTAGACCTGGTTTGGACCTGGTTTAGACTGGTTTAGTCCTAGTTTAGACTTGGTTTAGACCTGGTTTAGACCTGGTTTAGACCTAGTTTAGACCTAGTTTTAGACCTAGTTTAGACCTGGTTTTTAACCTAGTTTAGACCTGGTTTAGACCTGGTTTAGACCTAGTTTAGACCTGGTTTAGACCTAGAGTTTAGACCTGGTTTAGTCTTGGTTTAGTCCTGGTTTAGACCTGGTTTAGACTTAGTTTAGACGTGGTTTAGACCTAGTTTAGTCCTGGGTTTAGACCTGGTTTAGTTCTGGTTTAGACCTAGTTTAGAATTGGTTTAGTCCTGGTTTAGACCTGGTTTAGTCCTGGTTTAGACCTGGTTTAGTCCTGGTTTAGACCTGGTTTAGATAAACAATATATCAGAGCGGAGGAGAGAGGGAGCGGCTGGAGTCAGTGCAGAAACACGGTCGGGGTTTAACTGTGCGTCTGGAATCGTCGTCTTTAAGAGTCAGAATGAAAATAAATATGAGCACTCGCAAAGATGTTTAGTAAAAACTGTGTGAAGTGTCATGTTTCGATCGGTACAAATGTGAGTCACACGAGTCACGATGCTTTTTAACCTGGACTGAAGTGGTGGGTTTTTTGTTTTTCTTAATACAAATTTGCTAGTTTTGGTTTAGACTTGGTTTAGACCTGGTTTAGACCTGGTTTAGTCCTGGTTTAGACTTGGTTTAGTCCTGGTTTAGTTTAGTCCTGGTTTATACTTGGTTTAGACCTGGTTTAGTCCTGGTTTAGACCTGGTTTATTTTGGTTTAGACCTGGTTTAGTCTTGGTTTAGACTTGGTTTAGACTTGGTTTAGTCCTGGTTAGACCTGGTTTTATACTTTGGTTTTAGACCTGGTTTAGTCCTGGTTTAGACCTGGTTTAGACCTGGTTTAGACCTGGTTAGTTAGTCCTAGTTTAGACCTGGTTTAGACCTGGTTTAGTCCTGGTTTAGGCCTGGTTTAGACCTGGTTTAGTCCTGGTTTAGTCCTGGTTTAAGAACCTGGTTTAGTCCTGTTTAGACCTGGTTTAGTCCTGATTTAGACCTGGTTTGGACCTGGTTTAGTCCTGATTTAGACCTGGTTTAGACCTGGTTTAGTCCTGGTTTAGACCTGGTTTAGTCCTGGTTTAGTCCTGGTTTAGACCTGGTTTAGACCTGGTTTAGTCCTGGTTTAGACCTGGTTTAGTCCTGGTTTAGACCTGGTTTAGTCCTGGTTTAGTCCTGGTTTAGACCTGGTTTACACCTGGTTTAGTCCTGATTTAGACCTGGTTTAGTCCTGGTTTAGTCCTGGTTTAGACCTGGTTTAGTCCTGATTTAAACCTGGTTTGGACCTGTTTAGTCCTGATTTAGACCTGGTTTAGACCTGGTTTAGTCCTGGTTTAGACCTGGTTTAGACCTGGTTTAGACCTGGTTTAGTCCTGGTTCATTCAAACACAAAATCGAAAACTGAAAAAAATGAATCATTATTTATTTTTTCATTTTGGTTTTGGAGACAAATAATGAAGAAAATTGTTGTTTTTTCGTTTTATTATTTCTGGTTTTATTTTGAAAAACTAATGAACGAATGACACACAGATTGGTTCAGTGTTTCGTCCTGTGTCCTTGAGGCTCCGGTTCTGTGAGATTTGGATATAATTTCATCCCCATTTCCTTGTTTATCTCAGTCCAGTTACAGTTTTTCCTCGGCCCGGACCTGAGCCTGAGAAAAGCCGAGGCCTGGTTTGTTCTAAAAATAGTCCTTATTGACTCTCCTCCCCTCGCCACGGGCCGGATGTGGACCGCAGTCCGACCGTCACGGGGCCTAATTGGACCAAACGCGGAGCCGTGTTTGTGTCCGGCAGAAGATCTTCCCTGCATCACTTCCCAAAACGCTCCTCGGCAAAGTCTTTTTAAAGTCCTACTGCTTTTAAACGTCTTGTATAATTAATATCTCAAAGTGTGGGACGTTTTTTTTTTATTGGATCTGGCAGAGCAGAGCGGGATGACGGGAAAGGAGACGCAGAGGACGCACGTAGATGAAAGAGGAGAGGCCGATTAGATTAGAGGAAGAGGAGGAGGAGGAGGAGGAGGGGGAGAATCTGTGTGTCGTTCGTTCAGTCGTTTTTCAAAATAAAACCAAAAATAATGAACGAAAAACAACTATTTTTTTCATTATTTGTCTCCAAAACCAAAATGAAAAAACAGATAATGATTCGTTGAACGGATAATCGAAAAAAACGGATAATGGACTGAACCAGGACTGAACGAGGACTGAACCAGGTCCGGGACTATACCGGAACAAGACCGGGATTGAGACCAGGACCAGATCGAAATAGGACCAGGACCAGGACTGAGACTGTGACCAGACCAGAACTGAGAACGGGACTGAGACCTGGAACAGGATCGAGACTGAGGCCGGGACCAGGAACCAGGACCAGGACTGAGACCGGAACCAGACCAGGACCAGACCAGGACCACATTGTGATTGAGGCCGAGACTGAGACCAGGACCAGACTGGGACCAGGACTCAGACCATGACCAGACCAGAACTGAGACCAGGACTGAGACCGGGAACAGGATCAGGACTAAGATTGGACTAAGATTGGGACTAAGATTGGGACTAAGATTGGGACTAAGATTGGGACTAAGATTGGGACTGAGTTTGGGACTGAGACCAGGATTAGAGACCAGGATTGAGACCAGGACTGAGACTGGTACCAGACCAGAACTGAGACCAGGACTGAGACCGGGAACAGGATCAGACCGGGCTTGAGACCAGGGCCAGACCAGTACTGAGACCAGGACTGAGGCCGGGACCAGACCAAAACTGAGACCGGGACTGAGACCTGGACCAGACCAAAACCACACTGCGATTGAGACCGGGACCGGACCAGGACCAGGACCAGAACTGAGACCAGGACTGGGACTGGGATCGGGATCAAGACCGGGACCAGACCAGGACTGAAATTGGTTTAGTCCTGTTTTAGTCCCGTTTTAGTCCTGGTTCAGTCCGTTATCCGTTTTTTCCATTTTTCATTTAAACACAAAATCGAAAACTGAAAAAACTAATCATTATCTGTTTTTTTTAAATTTGGTTTTGGAGACAAATAATGAAGTAAATAGTTGTTTTTTCGTTTCCTTATTTTTGCTTTTATTTTGAAAATGAACGAATGAACGATTGACACACAGACTGAGCAGCAGGAGGAGGAGGAGGAGGAGAATCTGTGTGTCGTTCAGTCGTTTTTCAAAATAAAACCAAAAATAATGAACGAAAAAACAACTATTTTTTTCATTATTTGTCCTCCAAAACAAAATGAAAAAACAAATAATGA